TTCTTGACTAATCTATCGCAGAGGGATTTTTGCTGTGGTCTTTTTGCTCAATTTGATTCTGGTCTTCAAGGAGTCTTCGGGCGCTGTTCCTTTCGGCAAGTTCTCCGTTAAACTCGCACTATAGTTTCTAATTCTTCAATCCATAGGGACTCTACTCGTCATTGTTTTGTTATGGTTTGCAGTCGCTGTTCCACTCACCTCAATCGGAGCATGGCTTGGTAACAAACACGGCGTAAGTTTCCATCCCACACGCAACAGTAATTCAGGGCTAATTCGCTGTGATTAGCCTCTTCCGTCTTTATTACGCGTCAACCAAATCCCTCGACAAATACCCCCGCCACCCAAATATCTAAAATCAGTGGTAAGTATCTTTGGAACCGCTTCTCTTCAGGAGGAAGTTGACAATAATTCCAAAGCCCTCCGTTCTGGCAACAGGGTTACTACCATTTGGCGCGGCCTTCATCGAGGGATATTTCCTCTTCTCTAGCATCTTCGCGTCTCGTGCTTACTATGCGTTTGGGTTCTTGGCAATGACGGCGGCCGTCGTCTCTCTGACAACTGCAACTGTGACCATTCTTTTCGTTTATTTCTTGCTTTGTGCCGAAGATTATAGGTACGCATCAAGCATCATGCCTGTCAAGTCAGATCTCCTTACCTCTTCGAACTAATCACCTTCACCACGTTACAGATGGCATTGGCGATCGTTTGTCGCAGGTGGTGGCAGCGCGATATGGCTTCTCATTTATGGAATTTATTATTGGCTATCACGGCTGTCTCTCGATTCGATGGCGAGCGTCGTTTTATACTTTGGCTACCTTCTCATTTTGGCGCTGATCAATTTCATCGTTACTGGTGAGTAAATGCAGCGAATATAGCTACCGCCTGACTGAAAATACCACTAGGGACCATTGGGTCTTTGGCATCTGCGTGGGCTGTGCGCCGGATATATGCAGCAGTCCGGATTGATTAAAAGAACCTGTGTTGTCATGGTCCTACGTAAGTAATCTACATAACTTATACTAGTAGCAGGGCAGATCATTTTCTTCCTCCAAAAGTGGTGCATTCTTTCTATGAATGATTATGAACCATCGTTGACTACAACTCCAATATAAGATGTTCCTCTTTTCCTGCACGCATAATAGCAACGCGCTGGTCGATGAAATCGTTGATATCAAGGGTCCGGTCCAGTTGTGTGATCTTTTTATTGTTCAAGTAAAGCCCTCCCGATCGAAGCAATTGTTTCGCTTTTGCTAGAGACGTGTTAGTTTTAGCGAAGGTAAGAAT